GCAGCTTCGCCATGGCGACAGTGGTAAGAAAAAACTCCCTAAAAACAAGAGGAAGAAACCTTGAGAGGAACCAAGACTCAAAAGGGGAACCCATCCTGCTCTGGTCGACACCGGATAGCAAACAGCATTAGTTTAAAATATTACAATACAAAACTGGGAAAAACAGGTGGAGCAATGGTTAATTAGATAGTTTGAGTTTATGCAGCAGCAGCAGGAGGGTAACAATAGTTAATTAGACATCTATTAGCTCTTACTTCACAACTGAGTAATAATCAGGTATTCAGAGTTATTCATCATCATTTAATATATACACATTACTTTACATGTATGTCGCTGCTGGATCAAAACATTGTATCTTCATTTTTCCATTATTTAATTTTTGAAGTAATATGCTCTTTACATTGTGATGGATCATCATGATGGATGGATCAACAGAAATGGTCAAAAACTTTAGCCTTTTTTTCTCATAAAAGTTACGATTTTGGGGATATGGTTATGATTAAATATCAACAATATGTTAATATATGTCAAATTTCTAATTAATGACTGCTGATTGGTTGTTAAAACAATCATTGCAAACAAAACATTAAGTGGGTGAGACCAGACAAAATGCTAAATATTTAATTAGTTAATGATTAGTCAATTATGATGTAACAGCTAATAGAAGTTATAAACTATCACTTTTATAAAGCACAGATGCAGGAAGGAGTTTTAAATAAGAGGTGCTGAAATTTTAAGCTGCATATCTGTGATGTGAATAATGATGTCATGCAAAATGATTAGCTTTTTTCACATGAATATTTTTGATTAATTACATTAAGCATCTAATTATTACTTGATGACATATATGGCCAAAATAATGTGGAGACCAATAGGTCACACATATATGAGTTTGTTGGACATCCCCTTTAAAAGCTATGGCCATTACTGTAGAGTATCCCCCCTTTATGGCTATGACAGCCTCATTCAGTCAAAAGAGCATTTGTGAGGTCAGACACTGATGTTGATTATGAGTGGGCCTGACTCACAATTGGTGTCCCAGTTCATCCCAAAGGTATTCAGTGGGGGTGTGATCAGGGCTCTGTGCTGGACACTGGAGTTCCTCCACAACAAACTGGTCAAGCCATGTCTTAATGGACCTTGCACTGTGCACAGGGGCTCAGTCAAGCTGGAGCAGGAAAGGCTCTTGGAAGCGTACAATTATCCAAAATGTCTTTGTCTGCTGAAGCACTAAGATTTACCTTCAGTGGAACTAAGGGGTGCAAACCCTGAAAAACAGCCCCATCCCATTATCCCTCCTCCACCAAACTTTACTGTTGGCACTATGTATTTCGGTAGGTAGTGTTCTTCTGGCATTTGCCAAACCCAGATACATCCATCAGACTGCCAGATAGTGAGGTGATTAATCCCACCAGAGAACATGTTTTCACTGCTGCAGGGTCCAGTGGCAGTGTGCTTTACTCCACTCCAGTCGATGACTGGCATTGTGCATAGTGATCCTGGGTTTGTGCAGCTACTCTGTAATGAAATCCTATTTTATGAAGCTTGTGATGCTCAGTTCTTTTGCTGTGACCTCATGACAGGTTAAGTCACACAGTACATTTTTGCTTTAGTTTGCTTCATTGACATCAAACATTGTGACATACAGCTTACAAATTTGTTCAGTGCAAAACACTAAGCTTCAGTTGTTCTAAACATAATATTAACATTTTTAATTAAATGTCCATTAAATAAATAATTATCTTCACATTTTCAAAATACACTCTGTTATTTAACCTGGTGGGCTTGATTCTTCAGACTCTCACATTAAACTGTGCTGGTCTTCAGACTCTGAAAGACTGGATCTCATTGGTGAGTTGAGGAGTCTTGTAGACTGAATGATTGATTACTGGGGGAGTCTGGTAGACTGATTCTGATTGGTCAGTGGTGGTGTCTGGTAAATTGATTCTGATTGGTAGGTGGAGGGATCTGGTAGACTGATTCTGATTGGTTAGTGGAGGAGTCTGGTAGACAGAATCTAGTTAGTGGAAGAGTCTTCTAGACTGAATCTGATTGCCGAGTGAGGTAGTCTGGTAAACTGAATCTGACTAGTGAGTGGAGGAGTCTGGTAGACTGAATCCGATTGGCGAGTACCAGACTCCTCCACTAACCAGTTGGATTTAGTCTATCAAACTCCTCCACTCACCAGTCAAATTTAGTCTACCAGACTGCTCCACTCCTCTAGTAGACTGAATCTGATTGACGAGCAGGGAGTCTGATTTAGTCTATCAGACTCCTCCACTCCTCTGGTAGACTGAATCTGATTGGCGAGTAGGGATTCTGATGGGAACTGAGCAGGAGAATAAAGGGGATTTGAGAAATCACAGCTTGAGGTTAACTGGACATTTTCATAATCCGTTTGAGAAGGTTCTGAGGGGTTTGTAGGTAGTTGAGCAGTACAGTAGACTGTAGAAGCTCTGGCATCTGAGACAGAAAGGTCTATAATCTCCTCAAATTCAGATAGAGAAACCTATAATAAAAATACAGGTAAAGCATATTAATGAAAATTATAACATGTCAAGTGTATTTAAAGTAAACTGAACTATTTTACTCCTTTTGGTGCATTTAAACCAAAATTTAGTTTACCCTTTATGTGCAAGTGAGGTGGATCAATTTTCCTAGTTATTGAGGATTCATTATTAAGCATATCATTGGTGGAAACTTGTTCTGCACTAAAATACAGTTTTGACTCACCCTGTGTTCATTTGTGGAGCCTCTGAGTGATTGGCTTTGGGTTGAGGCTGGAACTGAGGAGAAACAATTCCAGAACATTCAATCAGTTATGAAATAAGAATCAATTTAAATGTTATATGACATAAATATTATGAATTTCGTGAAAGATAAACAGGATGTAGAATTGATATGAGAATGTGGTCACAGTCTGTTCTTACTCTATTTGTTTTGATGCATGTTCATGTATAGCCAGCAGAGGGCAGCAGCTGTCAATCACTGTTAGTCCACTGAGGCCTAATGAAATTTTATTGGCCTCTAATGACCTCTAATGAAAAATCTCTGTAATATGTCTTGGGGAAATCAATAATTTGTTCAGTGACCGTATATAATCATAGATAGATAGCTAGATAGATAGATAGCCATTTCCAAGGCTGTGCAAAATGTAAATCAAAACAAAATGCAATGGTGTGTAAATCTTTTTTTTTTTTGGAAAAAATATATGCTCATTATGCATTTGATGCCAACAATATGGTAAAGTTGGATAATGCTGGAAAAACACCTGGTGATTAATTGGTAACAGGTCCGTAGCATGATTGGGTATAAAATGTGCATCTCAGAGAGGCTGAGTCTTTCAGAGTACGACAAAGGAGACCCCGAACTGTTGAGCAGCTGAAATCCTATGTTAAGCAAGAACAGGAAAACATTTCAACTATCAAAACTACAGCAGTGTCTCCTCAGTTCCCAAATGCTTACAGAGTGTTGTAAAAGAAGAGGTCACTGTTGTATCTTTGAGGGCACATTTACATTGTTTGTACCTTGATAAATAGACAATGTACCTTTTTCTGACAGTGTGTGATAATTTTCTGTGAGTATAAACTCAAGCTATACAAATCTCTGTATGCAAGCTCAGCTTGTTATCAGTGCACAGTTCAAAAGCCAGTGTTCATGATGGTATAGGGGTGCATTAGTGCACACTGCATAGGTGACATGCACATCTGTGAAGGCACTATCAATGCTGAACGTTATATACAGTGGGGCAAAAAAGTATTTAGTCAGCCACTGATTGTGCAAGTTCTCCTACTTAGAAAGATGACAGATGTCTGTAATTTTCATCATAGGTACACTTCAACTATGAGAGACAAAATGAGAAAAAAAAATCCAGGAATCACTTTGTAGGATTTTTAAAGAATTTATTTGTAAATTATGGTGGAAAATAAGTATTTGGTCAATAACAAAAGTTCAACTCAATACTTTGTAACATAACCTTTGTTGGCAATGACAGAGGTCAAACGTTTCCTGTAAGTCTTCACCAGGTTTGCACACACTGTAGCTGGTATTTTGGCCCGTCCCTCCATGCAGATCTCCTCTAGAGCAGTGATGTTTTGGGGCTGTCGCTGGGCAACACAGACTTTCAACTCCCTCCACAAATTTTCTATAAGGTTGAGGTCTGGAGACTGGCTGGGATTTGTTTGGGATGTGTTTGGGATCACTGTCATGCTGGAAGACCCAGCCACGTTCCATCTTCAATGCTCTCACTGATGGAAAGAGGTTTTGGCTTAAAATCTCACAATACATGGCCCCGTTCATTCTTCCCTTAACACGGATCTGTCGTCCTGTCCCCTTTGCAGAAAAACAGCCCCAAAGCATGATGTTTCCACCCCCATGCTTCACAGTAGGTATCGTGTTCCTGGGATGCAACTCAGCATTCTTCTTCCTCCAAACACGACGAGTTGAGTTTTTACCAAAAAGTTCTATTTTGGTTTCATCTGACCACATGATATTCTCCCAAACCTCTTCTGGATCATCCATATGCTCTCTGGCAAACTTCAGACGGGCCTGGACATGTACTGGCTTAAGCAGGGGGACCCGCCTGGCACTGCAGGATTTGAGTCCCTCTCGGCGTAGTGTGTTACTGATGGTACCCTTTGTTACTTTGGTCCCAACTCTCTGCAGGTCATTCATCACGTCCCTCCGTGTAGTTCTGGGATTTTTGCTCACCGTTCTCATGATCATTTTGACCCCACGGGATGAGATCTCGCGTGGGGCCCCAGATCGAGGGAGATTGTATGTCTTCCGTTTTCTTACAATTGCTCCCACAGTTGATTTATTCACACCTATCTGCTTGCCTATTGTAGATTCACTCTTCCCAGCCTGGTGCAGGTCTACAATTTTCTTCCTGGTGTCCTTCGACAGCTCTTTGGTCTTGGCCATGGTTTAGTTTGGAGTCTGACTGTTTGAGGCTGTGGACAGGTGTCTTTTATATAGATAACGAGGTCAAACAGGTGCCATTAATACAGGTAACGAGTGGAGAACAGAAGAGCTTCTTAAAGAAGAAGATACAGGTTTGTGAGAGCCAGAAATCTTGCTTGTTTGTGGGTTACCAAATACTTATTGTCCACCATAATTTACAAACAAATTCTTTAAAAATCCTACAAAGTGATTTCCTGGATTTTTTTTTTCTCATTTGGTCTCTCATAGTTGAAGTGTACCTATGATGAAAATTACAGACCTCTGTCATCTTTCTAAGTAGGAGAACTTGCACAATCAGTGGCTGACTAAATACTTTTTTTACATGCTTGGACAACATATGCTGCCATCCAGAAAACGTCTTTTTCAGAGAAGGCCTTGATTATTTCAGCAAGACAATGTCTAACCACATTCTGTCCATATAGGAATATCTGCATAAATAAGTTACACATTTTATGTATGTGCATTATTTTAATGTGATGGTACCTTGGGTCTTGCTTCTCTTTGAAAGAGTGACTATGAAGAATAAGAGTCCAATCAGAAGCAGCAGCAGAATCACAGACACAGCAGTGACCACAGAGGAAACTGGAAAATCAGAATCATAAATATAGACTCAATCACAACAATAATCTGATTATTGAGAAGAGATCAAACTGCTAATATATTAGCAGATGTTTTTCTGTGTACTGTACATTAAGTATAATACCTGTAAAAGACAGTGAAGATGATGTGGTTTTAGAAAATGATGATGCAGTTAGTTTTGCAGTCAGTGAACTGATGTTTGTTGACATATTATGTAGAATATCTGATGAAGAAAATGTTAGATAGTCAATAATTACCTTTGCAGGTGCCATTATTGCTGACCACAGTTTACCAGGATATATATAACATGAATATTATACCTGTTGAAGTCTTAAATGAGGAATTCATTGTAGTTGTAAATGCTGTAGAGGAGGTTGTTTCTGTAGCTGTTTTGTTAATAGAGATGAAGTTAAAAAAGAAAAAAAAAAGCCTTTTCAGATGTCATGTCATATTGGTTTTATAAAAAAATTGCTAAATTATAACCCCTTTCACATTCATAACAACCATTTTTTATGTGTGAGGATACATGCAAAATATATCAGCCGCATATTTTGAATCAAACTTTCAGCTTTGATTAGACTGATTTTGATATTAGACTCCAGATTACAAGTTACCTACAGTTCAATAATAGAATCTTGAACTGTAATGCTGTACACTTCCTGCCTCTAGACTGCATGAATATGTAGAGGAAACGATCTGAAAGTATGAATGTAAAACCATATCTACCCACCAGTAACTCTGAGGTTGATCTGTGTGATATAGACCTTGTATCCATGATCAGATGTCCAGTCTGATTCAGCGCCACACCAGTATTCACCAGAGTCTCCCTCAGTCAGACTGTTGATGATCACAGTGAAGATCTGCTGTCCATCATCATGTAGATACAGTTTTCCCTCATTTATCCATCTTCTGCTCTCTTTAACAGATGTTTAATAACTACAGGCAGCAGTGTCCACTCTCCTACAGAGAAACTTGGGGTCACTGCTGTGGGATTGTGAGTATTTGCAGCTGATGTTCACACGTCCTCCTACATGACCAGTCACACTGATGCTCTTCTCTTGATCTGTCAATCCTAAACAATCAGATGAAAACACTTAAAATCGCCTTCACAGTTTACACTCATTATCACTGATTTTTTCTGACTTTACAGGTATATTTGAGTTTTACTAGTCCTTATTTAGCGACTTGATTATGACCCCTAACTGTGCATATTCAGTCACTTCCCTGTAGGCCACACTCTTCTTCTCAAAGTATTTTTAGATTATATTTATGAGTAAAAGGATGTTGAGTCAGGAAGCTTGTCTACAGTCACACTATTGCCTGACTCTGAATACAGAGGAAATCAATATTCAGAGTTGACAGAAACAGAATAAATTAAACAGACTTTATATTAGAGACGAGATCTGCTAACATCACAGTGAAGATCTCACAAAGCACATTTAACAAATGCCAAGTACTGTAAACACAGTCTAATAATCACACCATCATCATCACATATGATGATGTGTTTACATACAACTACTGTATGTAAACACATTTCCACAGCTGGGGTTAAAGAGGTGGGTGGCGCAGTGGGTAGCGCTGTCACCTCACAGCAAGAATGGTCTGGGTTCGATTCCCGGCCAGGCAACCAGGGTCCTTTCTGTGTGGAGTTTGCATGTTCTCCCCGTGTCTGTGTGGGTTCCCACAGTCCAAAGACATGCAGTCAGGCCACATGCTGAATTGCCCCTAGGTGTGAGTGATGTCTGTCTATCTGCCCTGCGATGGACTGGCGACCTGTCCAGCGTGTATCCTGCCTTTCGCCCAATGACAGCTGGGATAGGCTCCAGCAGCCCATCGTGACCCAGAAGCATATGCGGTTTAGATGATGTGTGTGTGTGTGTGTGTGGGTTAAAGAGGATTCACGCAATCAGAGATGAGAAGGTCTGATAAAGAGTCTCCGAAGAGAGCGAGGCTTTGATACTGTTAAAATGAGCTGGTGTTGGTTTCTGCCTTAATTCTCACTGTAGCTGAAGCTATCTGATGTTGCAAATTTAGGACAATAAACAAATGCAGTGGTGGGAGACACTCACCTTCCTGTACATTCAATTCCACTGGTGTGTAGATGTCAAAGCCAAATTTATCAACTGCACACTTGTACGTTCCAAAATCCTCTACAGTGAGCTCTCTGATCAACACCCAGAACTCTGCAGCTCTGGTGTCATCAAACAGTGAGAATCTTCCTCTATTTATCCACTCATTTTTAGCATCTGTCCAAATTGGCTTCGTCATGCAGGGCCATGAACCCGTACAGAGGTACTTTGGGTTTGATGTGTATCCTGTGTCGTATGTGCACTTGATGAGGACTCCTCCTCCTGAATATCCTGTCACTCTCTCTGATTCTCCTCCACCTACTAAAAGAGGACAAATGTCCATCTGAGTAAAGGCTTCATTTGACTCTGCTGACAGTGATGATTATTTAGAAGAGCATCTCCTTACCTGGAATCAGGAAGAGGGTGAAGATGAGGAGGATCTTCATGCTGAGTTCAGGCTCACAGATCAACACCAGCTCAGACAGATATCAGAGGCCCTGCAAGTTACACTTTGTCTCTGTGAGATTCTGTAACTGTGCTGCATCTTCAGCTGCGTCTTAAATAGAAACTGATGTCTTGCCCACTTCCTTTATTGACAGCGTGAAATAGAGAGCTGAAAACGTCTCAGCAAGGTGATGTGAAATTCACTGCATTAAGGTAAACAGTATTTTTGAGTTGTGTTAAAGCAGCTTCGTGTTTTTATCCTTTAGCATTTAGCCTGTTGTCGTGTCTACACTACTGTTTAACTGTACTGCAGTATATGAGTCTTTGGATTTATATTGCTTGCAAATATGATATGAACAAAAAAAGACCTTCTCAATATCGTGGATTTTCTCCTGCAGAACAATGAGATTAGATGGAAAAACAAACAAAAGCTTAGTCTAAGTCTCTCCTGCTGCTCAGATGTTTCTCCTCAGAAAAAGACCTCAGTAATCTTCCGCGTCCCACTGAGTTTCAGTAGAGATCTCAATAAAGTCACACATTGTGCTCAGATTTGCTCAGATAATGAAGTTCATGTTCATCTGCAGCTGAACTCTCATCTCTTCTTGTTGTCTAGTGTTATTTCTCATAGAGAAGCTTATTAGAATCACTTTGCATTTGTTCAGTAAAATTGTCCTCTGATGACTCCAGTTTGGCTGTTAGTGAGTGAATATGTGTGACTCCACTGTTGAATATTCATATTCATGTCATTGTTTCTTTACTGGTCTGTGTCAGAAGGACTCTACTGCCATCTAAAGCACAATGAGTGTAACAGCAGCACTGAGCAATCTTTGCTGTGTTCTCTATGTAATACAAATGTGATTAAAGAGAGAGATTAATCACTTCATAATAACAATAGTTAATAAGACATCTATTAGCTCTTACTTCACAATTGACTAATAATCAGGTATTAAGAGTTGTTCATCATCAATATATACAAACTACTTTACATGTATGTCGCTGCCGGATCAAAACCTTGTATCTCAATTTTTCCATTATTTAATTTTTTGATGTAATTTGAAAAACACCAGCTGCTCTTTACATTGTGAGAGTTTCATGATGGATGGATCAACAGAAATGGTTTATCTTCCACTGAAATTTTTTCTTCTCCTAAAATGTAAAACTTTGGGGATATGGTTATGATTAAAAATCAACAATATGTTAATATATGTCAAAATTTTAATTGATGATTTTTGATTGTTTGGTAACACTTTACATTAAGGGTCGCTAATCAATCATTAAATATATAATAATCAACTATTAGTTTTCTATTATTCAGTTATTAGTTAACTCTTCATTAAGCATTAGCTATTACTTAGTAATTGATTAAGCACTTATCAATTAGTAATTAAGTACACTGTTAGTTGATAAGTTAGTTTGTCGTTAGTTTGTGGCTTACTTACTCATTATCTGTGTGCTAATTGCTGCTTACTACATTGTTAATTAACTAATAAGTATTTTTCTTCATATAAAGAAGTAACGTGATAACTTACTAGCACTTATGTGTTAATCCCGCTAATTATCTGTTAATTAACTTTCCATCACCTCCATATATTCAGTTGCTTCACTTTTCTCACTTTGGTTCATTAAAGATGCTTATGGTCACATCTGACCGTAAGATGAGCGCACACAAATTCATGGACGGTTTTGTTATTCATCACGTTCATCTTGGCATATCTGTACTCATATCTGGTAGGAGTGCATGTACATTTGGGCATAAATGCTGGATATGTGGCTAATTAACCAAAACTATGATCAACATAATCTGTGATTGCAAAAATAAGAACAACAATAGAAAATATCAATAATACTAATTTGTGTGCATGACAGTCCAGTACAAAAGTGGATGTACTGACTTTACATGCACATTGATATAAACAAGTGCTGCAACTATATCATGTTCCATTTAAAGACACATTACACTGTGCTTTGTTTCATACTACTGATTCACAAACACAGCTTCGGTCATACACTGCAATAATACAGTGTTTATTTTAGGGAATTAATTACACTAAACAATCACTCTACTATGTTAACAACACTGAGTATTTTGTTTTATTTCACTTTTTATTTTTTCCAGTTGTTTTCATTTTAATACTATTAAGTTTGGTCAGCAGGGGAGGAGTGCACTCACTGCTGGACATCAAACTCCACCCACAAGCAGGGCCATTAGCTTTCATTCCGAACACTGCCGTTTTATTGGCTGGCTACTGAAACATCTGCATGAATTAGTGTGTGCTTCATGTAAATGGTATGTAAATGAGGTGCTGGTCAGCTGGTTTCATGCACTGAAGCTGATTTATCATTTATGCTCAAATCTCCACTTGTTTCCACATCGTACAAAATTGTTATGAATCAGACGCAGAGCAGTTCAAATCTTATAAAAGGCAAAAAAACCTTGTTCTTTTTTACGTAACTTTGATGAGTAATCGGCCCTTTTCACAAGATTAGTGACTACTTCCGGTTTAAGCATTAGCAGGGTAAAACTCACTTCCTGCGGATGCAATGTCAGAGTGTTTAGTAGTGAACTGTAGCGCTCAGACTCTGAGCTCCAGCAGCTGTACTGTAGAGTTCCTGCACGGCTGTGACAGTGAGAGTAAGAAGTGGACGGAGGCGCTGATTTAACTGTAAACAGAGCTGAGACGCTGTGTGTTGTTTTTACTGCAGTTCTGCTTCACATCAGGCCGTCTCTGTGTTTTTGTACAACACGCCAGCGATTCTGTAATCTTCTGTTTTCAAAAGAAAGAAGAACTTTTATATGTAGCATGAATGTTATAGACTCTGTTTATATTAAGCTAGCTATACTGGCTAGAAGCTACTGCTAGCCAAACTAGCCCGGCTAACATGAAGCAGCTTTTTCAGATGTTTTTTCAGCTGAGAGTCTCGTTTTTGACTCAGCAGTGAAAGGTGGATGTTTTCTGAAGTGCTGCTTCAAAAATTGCCATGAGACTATAAGAATAATGCTGTTTGGCAGATCGTTAACATAGCCAGCGTTAGAGCTAACTTAGCTTTAGAGTTTGATGCTCATACTCAAACTGCCTCAAACTGCTAACGGCAGGCTAGCTAATTAGCGACTGTAGCCTGCTAGCCTACCGTCAGCTAATACAGTTTAAACGATGTCTATCAAACAGACTTTACCTGTAAAAGTGTTTGTTTGTGTTGATGTCAGAAGTCTCTGCATCCTGTAGCTAAATGTGTCACAGAACCCGCTCCACGTTAGCCGGCTGGTGGCAGCAGCTGATGAAAGCTAACTTCCTTATTTTGGGAACACAGCTACAGTTAGAAATGGCTTCTAGCGTTGCTAGCTAACCTAGCTACAGCTAAACAACGTCTACCAAATTCATACTACACAGAAGAACTTTAATTTCTTTTGAAAACAGAAATATGACAGAAACCGCTGGCGTGTTGTTCAGCTACAGAGACACTGCTTGATGTGAGCAGCTGCAGCAGCAGTAAGCAGGGCTACACCACACACAGCATTTTAGCTGTGTTTACAGTTAAATCAGTGCTTCCATTCACTTCCTTTTGTCATGATAGTGCACAAAAACTAACATATGTCTGTTGTAGCTCAGTGTTTGAGCATTATAGTTCACTGCTAATGCTTAATCCGGACAGAATCGCAACTCTTTGTGAAAAGGGCCCATGATCATTAGATCTTTACATTTTGACCATTAATTACTCCTTAAATTCCTCTTACTTAACCATTAATTACTGCTTTTGTGTCCCTCCAAGTAAAGTGACAACACAAAATCAGTAATTAATGGTTAAGTAAGAGGAATTTAAGGAGTAATTAATGGTCAAAATGTAAAGATCTAATGGCCATTAATCATCAAAGTTACGTATAAAAAGAACACTTTTTTCTTTTATAAGGTTTGAACTGCTCTGCGTCTGATTCATAACAATTTTGTACGATGTGGAAACAAGTGGAGATTTGAGCATAAATGATAAATCAGCTTCAGTGCATGAAACCAGCTGACCAGCACCTCATTTACATACCATTTACATGAAGCACACACTAATTCATGCAGATGTTTCAGTAGCCAGCCAATAAAACGGCAGTGTTCGGAATGAAAGCTAATGGCCCTGCTTATGGGTGGAGTTTGATGTCCAGCAGTGAGTGCACTCCTCCCCTGCTGACCAAACTTAATAGTATTAAAATGAAAACAACTGGAAAAAATAAAAAGTGAAATAAAACTAAATACTCAGTGTTGTTAACATAGTAGAGTGATTGTTTAGTGTAGTTAATTCCCTAAAATAAACGCTGTATTATTGCAGTGTATAACCGAAGCTGTGTTTGTGAGTCAGTAGTATGAAACACAACTACAGTGTAATGTGTCTTTAAATGGAACATGAAATAGTTGCAGCACTTGTTTATATCAATGTGCATGTAAAGTAAGTACATCCACTTTTGTACTGGACTGTCCTGCACACAAATTAGTATTATTGATATTTTCTATTGTTGTTCTTATTTTTGCTATTACAGATTATGTTGATCATAGTTTTGGTTAATTAGCCACATATCCAGCATTTATGCCCAAATGTACATGCACTCCTACCAGATATAAGTACAGATATGCCAAGATGAACGTGATGAATAACAAAACCGTCCATGAATTTGTGTGCGCTCATCTTACGGTCAGATGTGACCATAAGCATCTTTAATGAACCAAAGTGAGAAAAGTGAAGCAACTGAATATTTGGAGGTGATGGAAAGTTAATTAACAGATAATTAGCGGGATTAACACATAAGTGCTAGTAAGTTATCATGTTACTTCTTTATATGAAGAAAAATACTTATTAGTTAATTAACAATGTAGTAAGCAGCAATTAGCACACAGATAATGAGTAAGTAAGCCACAAACTAACGACAAACTAACTTATCAACTAACAGTGTACTTAATTACTAATTGCTAAGTGCTTAATCAATTACTAAGTAATAGCTAATGCTTAATGAAGAGTTAACTAA